TGCAGCTTTTATTCAGGACTGTTGTCGTACGAATACCTAATCATATATTCCTTTTAAACAGTTCTTTCCCTCATCTGTTTCAAGGCAGTGTTCATTATTTATACCCTCTTTTTTTTTCTTCTTTTTTAAGTTTTCCCCGACTTCCATGTCAGTCCCACTTTACTGAGATATTTCATACATTCAGCATAATGTCCTCCTGGGTCACCCATTTTGTATAATATTTCATGAGTTCCTTGTTTTTCAGTGCTGCATAGTATTTCATTGTGTGAATATATCATAGCTTCTCTATCCATTCGTTTGTTGTTGTTTCCATCTCTTTGCTGTTGTGAACAATACAGCAATAAACATGGGTGTGCATTGTCTTCAATGATTTATAGTTAGTAAGTACACAGTATATATTTGTAGAATAAAGGAATGGATAGTGATAGATATTGAAGGAAAGAAAATAATTGCAGCATAGTCCTTAATATCCAGGAGCTTACATCCAGCCTGTGATAAAATGCACTTGAAGGAAATTATCATTTATGCGACTTGCATCTTTTTTCTCTCTTTATTCATTTGAAAGCCCTTTGAGGATCTGAGAATCATAATGTCATAATATGTTGTTAGGTACCATGGAGTCAACTACTAATCATAGTGACCCTATGTACATCAGATCAAAACCAGCCCAATCCTGTACTACTGTTACAATCTCTGCTGTGCTTGAACTCATTATTATAGTCACTATGTCAATCCATCTCTTTGAGAATTTTTCACTCCTTCACTGACCTTTCACCACTCCAAGCTAAAGGTCCTTTTACAAGCACTGGCCTCTCCTGATAACATGCCCAAGGTATGTGAGGCAAAGTCTCATAATTACGGCTTTTAAGGAACACTCTGGCTTGGCTTCTTCCAAGGCAAAGTTGTCTTCTTGGCTGTCCATGATGTGTGTCCAATATCCATCACCAATATGACAATTTAAAGGCAACAGGTTGTTTTTTATCTTCCACATTCATTATCCAACTTTCACATACACTTGAAGCAATTGAAAATACCACGACTTGCATCAGGTACTTCTTAGTCTTCAAACTGACATCCTTCTTTCTCAACATTTTAAAGAGGTCCTTAATAGCATAATTGTCCAGTCCATTGGGTTTTTTGAGTTCTTGACTACTGACTGTTTCCATAGGTTGGTTGTGGATCCAAGTAAAAGGAAATCCTTAAAAACTTCAGTCTTTTCTTTATCTGTCATGCTGGTGCCTGTTGGTCCGGTTGTGACAAGGGAAAAAATATCTTTTGATATATTCTCAGCTTTGAACTGACAGAGCATTAGGAGATTAGTAATTGTTGAAACATTAGTAATACCAGTAGAACTTCCTGCAAGGATGGAAATTTTCCATACCTATACTGGCCATACACAGCAATCACTAACCTATTCTCGAAGTGTAGCCAACAAATATGAGAGACTGACTTTTAGTTTTATTTCCTTTTACTCAAAGTCATATTTTGGTTGCCTTGGATTTGGTTTAATTTTCCTCAGCTTCAGCTTGAATTTGCATATGTGTAGTTGGTGGTCTGTTCCTCAGTCAGCTCCTGGCCTAGCTTTCACAGCTGATATTGAGCTTCTCCAGCGGTTCTTTCCACAGATGTAGTCGATCTGATTCCTATGCATACCATCAGGTGAAATCCAGGTATATAACCTGCATTTATGTCTCTTAAAAAATGTATTTGCTA